ATCTATTGATCTGCCTTGAAAATAAATTAATATTGTAGCATGTACTTCCAGAAGTAATTAGGATCAGAAAAAACCCTTATAATATTCTATGATGATGCTGAATAGAAGTTTTATTAACTTTATACCACATCTATTTATTTCAATTCTTGAAAATAAAATTTAACAATGAACAGAGTATAATATTTTCCAATCAGTACCTTAAATGCTCACTTTTTTTTTTAACCTTAACAGGTATGATTGTTGTTGTCAGTTGCTGTTGACTAACTCATGGCAACCTTATGTACAACAGAAGGAAATGTTGCCTGGTACTACGCCATCTTCATGCTTGTTGATATGTTTGAGACCTGCTTCTCAACATGCTGTTTCCATGAATGTTGACTGTTGAATGATATTATTGACAACTCAATTTTTTCTCCATTTATCATGAAGTTCTTCATGGAACCAGTTGTGAGGACTCTTGTTTTCTCTATGTTCAGTGTGATCCGTACGAAGGCTGTAGTCTTCTACGTCTATCAGTAAGCGCTTCAAGTCCTCTTCACTTTCAGCCAGCAGGACTGTGTCATCTGCATATTGCAGGCTGTTAACGAGTCCTCTTCTAACCCCGATGCTGCATCTTCTCCACGTAGTCCAGTTTCTCAGATGATTTGTTCAGCATACAGACTGAATAAGTAAGGTAGAAGGATACAAGCCTGCTGCACATCTTTCCAATTTTGAACCACACAGTATCCCCTTGCTCTGTTTGAACGACTGCCTCTTGATCCATTTACAGGTTCTGCCTGAGCACGTTTAAGTGTTCTGGAATTCCCATTCTTTGCAATGTTATCGATAATTTGTTATGATCCACACAGTTGAATGCCTTTGAATAGCTGATAAAAAACAGGTAAACATCTTTCTGATATTTTCTGCTTTTGGCTAAGATCCATCTGACATCAGGAATGATTTATCCCTCATTCCACTTCATCTTCTGAATATGGCTTGAATTTCTGGCAGTTCCCTGTCAAAGTATAGCTGTGGTTGTTTTAAAATTATCTTCAGCAGAATTTTGCTAGCATGTGAATATTAATGATACTGTTCTATAATTTCCACATTCTGTTGGATCACCTTTCTTTGGAATGGGCACAAATATGGATCTCTTTAAGTTGACTGACCAGTTAGCTCTCTTCCAAATTTCTTGACATAGATGAGTAAGAGCTTCCAGCATTACATCTGTTTGTAGAAGCATCTTAACGGGTATCCTGTCAATTCCTGAAGCCTTGAACTTCTTCCTTCAGTACCAATGGTTCTTGGTCGTATGCTACCTTCTGAAATGGCTGAATGTCGAACAATTCTTCTTGGTGCAGTGACTCTGTATATTCCTTCTATCTTCTTTTGATGCTTCTTGGGTCATTTGATTTTTTGCTCATAGAATCCTTTAGTAACGCAACTCAAGGCTTGAATTTTCTCTTCAGTTCCTTCAGCTTGAGAAATACTGACCATGTTCTTCCCTTTTGGTATTCTAACTCCAGGTCTTTGCACATTTCATCATAATACTTTACCTTGTTTTCTTGAGCGACCCTTTGAAATCTCCTGTTCAGCTCTTTCACTTCATCATTTCTTCTGTTTGCTTTAGCTTCTCTGTATTTAAGAGCAAGTTTCAAAGTCTCTTCTGACGTACATTTCAGTCTTTTCCTCCTTTCCTGTCCTTTTAATGATCTTTCATTTTCTTCATGTATGATGTCCTCCCACATTTCTTTTGGTTTTCGGTCATTAGTGTTTGATGTGTCAAATCTATTCTTGAGATGGTCTCTAAATTCAGGCAGGGTGTATTTAAGGTTGTACTTTGGCCCTTGTGGACTTGTTTTGATTTTCTTCAGCTTCAATTTGAATTTACACGGGAGCAAGTGATGGTCTGTTCCATGGCTGTCCCCTGGCTTTGTCTTGACTGATGATATTGAGCTTCTCCATCATCCCTTTCCACAAATGTAGCTGATTTGATTCTGGTGTAGTCAACCAACAAGGTCCACGAGAATAGTCATCGATTATGTTGTTGAAAAAAAGTATTTCCATCTTGCAGAATTGTATCATGTGATCTCCAGCACTGTTTCCATCACCAAGGTCATATTTTCCAACTACTGATTCTTCTTTGTTTCCAACTTCTGCATTTCAATCACCAGTAATTATTAATATATCTTGATTGCATGCTTGATCAATTCCAGACTGCAGCAGTTCATATATATCTTCATTTTTTTCATCTTTAGCCTTCGTGGTTGGTGCATAAATTTGAAGAATAGTCATATTAACTGGTCTTCCTTGTAGGCGTATGGATATTAATCTATCACTGACAGTGTACGATAAGGACTTGGAAATGTAAGTTCTCTCAACATTAAACCAGCCCAAGTATATTTACCTATAAAAATAAAAATATTCTTAGCATATAGAATATGTAAGATGCTTCACAATCTGAATCTAACTTAGGCAACATCTTCCTAAAGTCTTGTTCTCTTGCTCCTTTCCTCTGCCAAAACAACTGAAGAAAAAAACATAACAAATATCTCATCATTTCCTAAACTTGCTATGTCCCTTCTTACCATTGAACCAAACCAAACCTGCTTTGATTCCAAATCTAGTTCTTACCACTAGGCCTCTGCAAATGCTTGGTTCCTCTAACCTGAATGCCCTGACTGACCCTCTACACACATTCCCTGCTTCCATACTTCCCTTTCATGGAGGAAATGTTCATTCCTCCTTTAAAAACTGTAACAATATCACAAAGCCTGTGAAATGTTCTTTTTAGAAAGATTTCATCCTTCGTGTTTCCACAGCAATTCTGCCAATAACTATTCTCCGTATATCATCTTCTAATAATAAAAAGGAATATGGATATAATACAGAATTTTGAAAATACAGAAAAATTTAGATTATCATTGTATTGTTTTAACCTAAATCATCTGTAAAAAAGAGTTTATTTCTGATTTCGACATTAATATAAAATATAAAATTAATAAAAAGTAAAATTAAATATTTAAAAAATTGCCCTTATTAAAATCAGGAATATCTTAAAATCAAAGATGTGTATTCACCATAATGAGAATCCAATGATAACTATCTTCTCTGAAGCACTTAATTTTAATTCACATTCAATAAAATTCATCACTTGAGTGAATAATAACTTTTGAAAAATGTATTCAGTTTGTAATCACCTCCATAATTATACCATTTCCATCACCCCATAAAGTTCCCTTGGTGCCCTTTGCAGTCAATCACCTCCCCCATTTTCAGTCCCTAATAACCACTGATCCATCTTCTGTCTCTATTTTCTAGACTATCACATAAATAAAAACAAAGGGTATGTAGTCTTCCGTCCAGTTTCATACACTAATCATAATGCTCCTGAGGGTAGGGTCATCCGTATATTTTAGTGTTATTAATACTTCATTCTTTTTTTCTTACTGAGCAGTATTCCATTGTATGGATACACTATAATGTGTTTATCCTTTCCTCAGCTGATGGACTAAAAATTTCCATTTTGGGCTATTATGAATAAAGGTCTGAACATTTGTGTATAAACCTTTATGTGAACTTATTTTTGTTATTTCTCTTGGGTAAATATCTAGGAATAGAATTGCTGGATCATATGGTAAATGGTTTCACTTTAAAGAAACTACCAAACTGATTTCCAAAGTTGGTATCTGCATAATACCAACAAAGCACTAGATTTCTAGATGTCCCACATCCTCATCATTACTTGGTATTGTCAGTCTTTATAATCTGAGCCATTCTAGTGGGTGCAGAGCTCACTGTGGTTTTCATTTGCATTTTGTTGATAACTGAGCATCTTTTCATGTACTGATTTGCCATTTGTATATTTTCTTTGGTGGAAGTGTCCATTCAAATATTTTGTATATTCTTTTTATCAGGCCAACTTCTTATATACTTATATAACTCAGCTATAAACGTTCTTTATATATTCTAAATACAAATCCTTCATCAAATACATATTTTGCAAAAGACTGTAAATTATCTTTTCATTTTCTTAAGGATTCCTTTTGATGAACAAAATTCTTTAATTTTGATGAAGTCCAATTCATTAACTTTTTCTTTCATGGTTCATGTTTTTGTGACCTAGGAAATTTATCTTTATTTTTTAACTACATTGTAGCAGTTTCCTAAAATATGTGCTTCTGTCAGCTAGCATATTTCGACCAAAGTGTTATTAAAGTAATTACAAAAACCAATTAAATAAACAAAATCACAAATACTGAAAAATCAAGATAAAATCTTTTAGGAAGTTATGTATCTTTTATATTTGTTTCCTTCCCTAAAGAAAATCACTGTGTTTATTTAAAAAAAAAAAAAACAAAACAACTTGGGTTATTTATTTCAATATATGTTAGATATACACAGAATGTGGTCAAAGTGATTTTTATGATTTCTAAGTCATCCCCTTAAAGGGAAGTGGCAGATGCTCCTTTTCCTTTTTCTACATTCTGAAATGCAGAAGTGGTAATGGTGGTAAGACATCCCGGACAACGAGGACAAGGGTAACATGCTAAGGATGGTAGCGCAATAAGGAAAAAACCATGAGTTCTAAACCCCAGGGAGCCATACCCTGCACTAATTTAAATCACTGTAATACTGGGTCTTTGTTGCAGCAGCCATGCCTACGTTCCAACTAATAAAGTAGCGTTCCATTGAATGCATTTCAATGAAGCACTACACTTAAAGCACTTGGCATGGTGCAAGACATAGAGTAAACACTCTGACGTTAGCTGTTATTACTATAGCACATATTCAGAGATTCTCTGAGAGAAAAATTCATATGCAAAATTTTCTAATAAGCAGATTAAAAAATAGACAATTAAATTATTTTGGTATCTAGTAGGTTCCCACAAAGTGAGGTAAAGCATAAGTTGTATCAGACAAGTAGACTGAAAACATTAAAACAGTTCAATAGCTACTTTATAAAATATAAATTATTACATATAGTGGTAAATTCAAAAGTACTGATGGGAAGTTCTTACCATGGAAAGGTATTCATTTGTACCCTGTTCTTATAAATCAGAATTCCTCCTGACATCACTCCAATCATAATTTCATTGTTACTTTGATCCTTAAAAAAAATAAAAACACGATAAATCTAAAAATAGTGGGCTTTAATTGTTAAAGACATATTTAAAAATAGGATTAGTTTTTTGAACACAACATGACATTTTCAAAGTCAACACATAACTGCGTAATACTTACAAACTGAAATGGTTGTTACCTCATAAAAATTAAGGATGAACTTCAAACCAAACTTTAATATTGCATTATCAAAATTCTCTAACCTAAAACAAAAAATGATTTCAGGATTTCCCATATTTTATGACTGGGACTGACTCTTTGGGATAGGAGCCAGAATCCAGAAATCAAAGGCCTCTTCATCTTGTAGAATGATGAATTAGTATTCATCCTTCCGCCTCTAAAATTAGTACGACTCAATCATTGAGTAAATGTGGTGCTAGGATTACAAAAACGAATAAAACATGGAAGAGTTCAGAGTCTGGTGAAGGACAACCCATAATAAAAATATTTAAAATAGAGTGAGAAGAAGTCCTGTAACTAATATTATACATTAGAATAGAATGAGAAGTCCTGTAACTAATATTATACATTAAAAACATCAAGGGCGTATAGAGTGGGGAAGAATTCTTAGACAGTTTGGAAGACCCTAAACCCACTGCCATCAAACCGATTCTGACTCACAGTGAACATATAAAACAAAGTGGAACTTTCCCATAGGGCTTCCTAGGCTGTAATCTTTATGAGAGCAGACTGCCACATCTTTCTCCCATGGAGTGGCTGGTGGGTTTCAACTGCCAACCTTTCAGTTAGCAACCGAGTGCTTAACCATTGTGCCACCAGGGGTCTTTTGGAAGGCCTTAGAGAAGAAAATTTGAATTGTGCCTTGAAGAATGAATGACAGTTTTCGTGTTAACTGAAATAGGTTACTTGAAATAGGTAACCTACACTATTGAGAAAATGAGCAGAATTAAAATACTTGTCTCAAATGCGACTCAACCTTGAAACAGCTTTGCTTCTTGACTTTAAATATTCTCCAGGCAACCTAACACAGCCTGCTTTCACCCTCTACCATTCATGTGCTCGGAAGACAGAACTAACTGATAAAAATATAAGTGTCTGTCTAGACCAAACCCTGTAAAATGTAACTCTGGTAATTTCTAATCAAATAAAATCTTACTAAGTTAACTCGCTGGGTAGGATAATACACAATAAGTGAGCAAATGCAACAGTGTATATTAATTTGTCTGGTAGCACATTTTTATTTAGCCATAACCAGCACTGCTGTACACTATTATCAGAGCTTTAAAAAATCATTTTTCAAAGGGCATCAATTAGAAATTCGGATTGAGACAGCCGACTAAGCCTAAGCAGGATCCAAATCATACATGGAAGGGCCTCATACTGAGAAGTCTGTACACAAACACTTGACCTCCAAGGCCAGGAGACGGGAAGAGTGAAGAGAGCACTATGCCAAGAGGTCTATTTATAGTTCTTATTCTGCTTTCTATGTTTATGAAGATGGCAGACTAAATGTTCCTACCTCCCCTTCTGCTCCCAATTTCATAAAACATCGAAGATACGTGAAAAGAGAAAGAATCTTAACACTTGAAAACAATCCGTAACACTTGAAAGTAAGTGAACAATAAGCCAGAAATGAAGCAGGTAAGATCAGATCTACAGAGAAGGTGGAGGCGGAAAGGTCCAGAAAACCACGGCCCAAAACTACCCACAAAAACAACCACTCTACTGTTGTGGGAAACCCTCGTGGCGTGGTGGTTAAGAGCTACGGCTGCTAACCAAAGGGTCGGCAGTTCGAATCTGCCAGGTGCTCCTTGGAAACTCTATAGGGCAGTTCTCCTCTGTCCTATAGGGTCAGCATGAGTCAGAATTGACTGGACGGCAATGGATTTGGGTTTTTGTTTGGTTCTACCGTGGTAGAGGCTGGAACAGTAGCGAAGTCAACAGACAGAAGCCCAGAGACAATGGATAAAATAGACGGGGCTCTCAATTACTGTCAGGGCGATCAGGCAGGGGACAATGAACATAAGCAGTCCACCAATGTCTGCAATCCATTCTTTCTGGGTTGAGTTACAGGAAGGAGAAGTGTGTGCATCCAGTCAAACACAGCAAGTGTGGACACTGGGGACAGAGGATCTGAGCACCAGCCTAGTTGGCTAATAATCTCCAGAAGGAGAATCCCAAGCTGAAAAGGGCAAACTAAAAGTACGTCTGAGCCTGTAACCCAGTCCTTCCTTCCTCCGCCATCATCTCAGACGGGCCACCCAAACCAAGTGAACTAGGAATCGTAAATACAATAGGAAGTACACAGCCAAGGATCACCAGGCATGTGAGGAAAACCAACACCATTAGAGAGATGCAAAAATCTCCAAGTCAGTCAATCAAGCTGCTATGCTGGGAGAAAAACACGTTAAAAAACATGTTCCGGGGTATCTAGGAACTCAAGTTTTTCATTAGATACCCATACTTAGGAGGCAGCAAAGGTGCTGCCAGAGGCGGGCAAGACAAAATAAGAGGACAGGTATTGTTTCTTTCAGGACACAAATGCTATTAAATCCTACCGTTCAGAAAAACGCATTTCGACCACCTTATTTTAAAGTATCTTGCTACACTTTTCTTCATATCACTTATTACTATCTAATATTATACTATGCATTTAGTTAACCTGTTTATTTGAAGAAAGTGTGAGGCCTTTATTTTGTTCACAAGTGGGTGCACGCAGCAGTAGAACAGTGACTCATCCTCACTTGCGGAATGAATGCCTCTATCGTCAGCAGAAAAACGTCTTAGCTGTTTAGCTTGGCATTTAAGGCCTTCAGACAGCCATCCCGTTCTCCTCTTATCTCCGCCTTCTAACTAGTAAAAATTTCCACTACAGTCAGGCCAGTTCCATGCTGTGTTTTATGCATTCAAACGTCCATGTTTTGGTAATGCTGCTCTCAGGCTTTCTCTGTGTCGCTCTGCCGGATCGTATCACACCAAAGTCTAGACCAAGTCCATCCTGTGTGTGAAAACTTCACCAGCCCACATACGCAAGTTTCTCTCACGGATATTTACCTGAACTACCCAGTACTGTCAGCTATATGACAATGGCTGGGATCAGGTATTATATATACAACAGTGTCTTTCAAACTATTTGTGGTAAAGGACCAATTTTGTTTGTTTTCTGTAAATTTCCAATCTGTCAGAGATCAATATTTTAACAAAACATACTGATTACATGTTTGATGAGTTGACAATGTCAGACTGCTCTAAGTTTCTAAATGTTTACTCTCAAATTTTTTTTCTTTTGGTTTAAGGGTTTTTTTTTTTAAATTGTACTTTAGATGAAGGTTTACAGAACAAATAGTTTCTCATTAAACAGTACACATATTGTTTTATGACAATGGTTAACAACCCCATGACATGTCAACACTCTCCGTTTTCAACCTTGGGTTCCCTATTACCAGCTTCCCTGTCCCCTCCTGCCTTCTAGTCCTTGTTCTGGGCTGTTGTGCCCCATTAGTCTCGTTTTATTTTATGGGCCTGTCTAATCTTTGGCTGAAGGGTTAACCTCGGGAGTGACTTCACTACTGAGCTAAAAGGGTGTCCAGGGGCTACTCTCAATTTCATCATGGTCCAGTAACAAACAATTCATGGATCAGCACCAGTCTGCAGATCATACCTTGAGCAGCAATGAAGCATTATTATGTTTAAACATTCCTTCACAGAGCCTGGTTCTCAAATAAATATTTCATAACTGACAGACTAAATTTCTGGTGATAATATTAACTTTATACTTAGCAAGTCACACTACTAGAGAATAAATTTCATATAATCTCTGGTTATAAAGAGTTGCGATGAGCTTTAAATACAGTTACTGGTGGAACTAAGATTAATTGATGATTAAAAGGAAGAGATTATAGTACACAATGGTTATATGATTTGAAAACATAAATTTAGAGTAATCATAAAAATGAGGGAGAACAGGGATAGCATTTGCGAAAAAATTAATGGTTTTCACTGAGAATTGATGGTGATAGTATTAAAATTGCTGTTCTAAATATAGTGTGGAATAAAGAAATTCATAACTACAGGATATTCTAACTTGGTAATTCCTTCTACTCTCTGAGAACCAAGATACTGTGTATCCCAATACACACAGACAGATATGAATATAAATACAGCCTAACTCTGTTCATAAAAAGGCCTAGAAACAATAAGCAACCCAGTAGAAATAAGCATCCTTAACTTCCACACGGAGGTTTTGAAATACCATTTCCCATGAAAAGAAAACAGGGCTTCTTAGAGAAATGGCCTGAAACATCTTAAAATGTCTGGAAGCAATCAAAGACTACTAAGGTCAGGACTCAGGAGCCAAATGAAGAGACTCCCAGTAGCCCAGGATGGGACAATTTGAGCTTCAACAAGGAAAAGAATTACAATGTATTAAAATGTATCAAAAATGTTTAATACATGAGTTCATAAGGATAGTTCATAAAAATATATTTGTATATCTTCTAAGGATGACAAGGAACCAATTCATTACCTTGAAAACTGAGTAAATAAAAAAAAAAAAAAAATCAAACACCATTTTTCCTGTCTTTCATATATGAACTATACAACTAGGCAACCAAATTGAAAATGAGGGGAAGTGACTCCTTTTAAAATTATTTCAGCCAATAAATAAAAGCAAAAAAGATAGAACTAGGATTTCTCTATTTTACAGCCTCCAATGAACTAATGGATCTAGGCACCGAGCATCAATGACTGCTAAAAAAAGAAGCAAAAACCAGACATTATGAGCCTTCTGATATAAGAAGACAACAAACAGATCAAACACAAATATGATCGAGCATCTGGATCAAGCTGCTAATTTGCAGGAAATACAGGAGGACCGCAGAACATGTTGCACAGCACCATGACTACGTGATCAACAAAATCCAGACTGGGAGAAATTACAGGTGAAATGGTCCAATTCTTTAACAGGTAAATTCTAAGACAGAGTATGGAAGAAGGGGTTACCTATAGATTAAACAGATTTAAAAT